GTAGCGTTGTCGAAGGGCTTGACGGGGCGTGGCGTTTCTTGGATGAGGAGGACGTCGGTGGTGATGGAGACGAGGGGAGACGAGACGAGCGCGGCGGAGCGAGGGTGAGTTGGCTCGTCTGTCGTGTTTGTGACGGGTGGGGGAGGACAAGTGCCCAGCCGCGCGGCAAGGGATGAAGGGTCTTGGGCACTTCTTGGCCACGGAGCACGTCGACTCGCGAGTTGACGAGTTGCGCCCAGACGTCTGGGCTACGGTGGATGTTGTAGGTGACGATGACGAGCTCGCTCATAAGCGGAGGCTCGTCTTTGTCGTCCTCCTCACTTGCGAAGGCAGCGGCGGCGGGTTGGGCCGGAGGAGCAGCTCGTCCTCAGATGATGAGACAATGCTGCAAATGTGCAGAGCATGCCTGGCTAGATGGAACGGGCGCTGACAGCTCCTTCGGTCTGCAACGCGGTCGTCGGCTTCGCGCTTGACGTCTCCAAGGCGTTCCCAAGCGTCCAAACAAAGAGACTCATAACGAACCTGGCGAACCGAGGCCTGCCCAAACCCGCCTGCAACTGGATCCGCTCCTTCCTGAGCCAGCGCTCATGCACTCTGCAGCTCAAAGGCATCGTCAGCGAGACAATCGAATGGACGAGTGGACTCCCGCAAGGCTCACTGTTATCGCCCATCCTCTTCCTCAAATACAACGCACCCCTACTCGACGCCTGCGATACGTCGTCGACTTGCGGCTTCGGGTGGATCGACGACGTCAACGTCTTGGCCTAAGGAAGGACTGTGGACGATGCAGTCAGCGCGATGAACAACCTCATACCGAAACTCGAGGCATGGTCCGACTCCCACACCTCAGCATTTGAGCCAACCAAGACCAAAGCGACAATCTTCCTCCCCCCCAACTGCGCCATGCCCGACAACCCCCGCCTCGCCATCCTCCGCGACCATGAAATTGGGTTCAAGCCAACCCTCTCAATGCTCGGCACGAAACTCGACAATCGACTCACCTTCCGAGACCACATCACCTCGTGCGCCGCCAAAGCCACCGTATGCACGACTGCCATTGCCCTCCTAGCCCGCTCGAAGGCAGGGCTATCGCCGAAGTGGGCTCGGCAGCTTGTCGTCGCGTGTGTTTGGCCAAGGTTGATGTGGTTGGCGGCGGCGTGGTACGACCCTGCGAAGGAAAAGGACAAGACAAGGGAGTTAGTACGAGTACAGAAGTCGGCGGCGATGGCAGTGACAGGAGGATTTTGCTCAGCGGCAGGCGAGGCCCTCGAGATCAAGGCAGGCTTGCTCCCCATCCACCTCCAGCTCCAAAATCAGCTCTTCTGCCTCGCACTCCGCGCTCTTTCCGCCCCACCCTCACACCCGCTCCACCACCGCACTACCGCAGCCCGTCGCCGCCCCGCACACGCCGCGCACCGCTCGCCGCTCGACCTCGCCCTCACCAACCCAATCCCCCGCTCCTCCAGATCTTTGAGAGTGGGGAACACTTCCTGATTCTCTGCCCGCTGTACGAGCAGGATCAACTCTCCTTCTACATGCACATCCGCCTACACCAAACCCCGACAGTCGGACTACTCCTCGGCAGCCTCGACTTCCGCCAGCCCCTCCTCGACTTCATTGCCGCAACTGGCCGCTTCGCCCGCCTGACGGAGCTGTCGAAGGACGAGAAGCGAGAGGAGGACATGAGGGAGGGATCCGGCGCCGGCAGGGTGTAGGAGAACGGCTCAAGGCCCTCCACCACGTCGACTTACGCCTACCCAATCCCCTTTTTGACTCTTACTTGACCAACTCGCCCTCTGCCCGCCTCGCTCCAAGCGCGGCAAGTACCCTTCATCACTCTGGCCACACAACCCGCCCACCTCCCTCCCATCCCCGCCATCGTCGTCGTCGTCGCGGTCCAAGAAGGTCAAGATCAAAAATGGCACTATCTCGATGGCTTCTCAATGGTTTGGCTTTGTCTTTTGTTTCTCCAGCCCCACACAACCTCCTCTACCAGCCCACCACGCCGCGTCCGTTTACTCTCACTCCCCTTCATTTTATCGCAATTCTTCACTCTTGCTGCTACTTCTCCGCTCCGCTGTCCTCAATCATCCGCTTCTTTGCTCCCTATTGCCTCTCCACATCAGTAGATACCCCATCTCGCTTGTTATGTGCTGTGGCAGCCAGTCCCTGCCGGTCTACATGGGCTTAGCCCGATATGACTTGAAAGAAGAACTTCTCTCTCTCTCTCATCCATCGACCAGTCCGCCACCGGCTCAGGTCGTAGGTCGTCGTTTGTCGGTGTCGGCGAGCAAGGGAGCGGGATCAGGGATGCGCGGGACGGCATCTCGAGGAAGGCAGACGGCCCGTCTCCCAATGACTCGTCAACTAGCATCCTCGACAACCGCTTCGCCTCGCTTGCTATCGCCGTAGTCCCAAGATAACCCAAGATCATCGTCGCGTACGGCCTGGTCGAGCGAGCGGCGTTCGAGGCGGAGCCGGGATGGTTGGGTTGGGTGAGGGAAGGGGAGCGGTGGGGTTCTGCGCTGGGGTGGATGTGCGGGTGTCGGGGTTGAGCGGTGCGTGTTCCTTGTCCATCCACTTCCTCGCTTCCACTCGCCTCTCCGCGACCGACTTGGCCCTCTCTAGCTCCACCCACACCCCTGGTCTGAGCTGGCGGACCACCTCAAGTAAGATCACGCTGATGTCCTACGCATTGCAGAGCTCCATCGACCACGGCAGCAGCAGCTCGTCGTCAGCAGACGAGAGCGGGTGGGAGGAGGACGAGGAGGAGCGGGCGGTTTGCCTCGAGCGCGAAGTCGCTTGCCTCGGTCAACTCGACTTGTCAAGGCAACCCTCCTCTGCCGACTCCGTACTGACACATCCGCCTTGAACGCCCACCGCGCCCGGTTCGACTCCACCCGCTCCGACCGCTGCGAGTGCGGCGAGGCAGAGACTCGGGAACACCTCCTGATCTCGTGCCCGCTGTACGATCAAGCTCGAAACTTGTTCTTCAAGCATATCCGCCTGCGCCAAACCCCTACAACATCCCTTCTCCTCGGCAACGCCGACTTTCGCGCACCTCTCCTCGACTTCATCGCCGCTACGGGCCGCTTCACACGTCTGATGGAGCCAGCATGGGATGAGGAGCGGGATAAGGACACGAGGAAGGGTTCTGGCAACAGCGGATCGTAGGAGGACATCTCAGGGCCCGCTACCCCTCCGACCCTCTCCCGCTCAATCTCCTTTTCAGCTCTCACTCGCCCAAACCGCCCTCGATTTGCCTCGCCCCGAGCTCAACCAGCACCCTACACCCCACTCTACCACACGACTTGTCCACCTCCCATCCCCGCCGCCATCGTCGTCATCGTCGCGGTCCAAGAAGGTCGAGATCAAGAATGGCATTATCTCGATGGTTTCGTGATGGTTTGGATTTGTTCTTCGTTCCCCAAGCCCGATACACACTCTTCTACCGACCCACCATCCCGCGCTCCTCCACTCTCACTCCCCCTCGTTTTATCGCACTTCTTTGCTATCGCTTCTACTTTTCCGCTCTACTTCCACCCACCCTCCCACTGTACTACTACTATAGCCTCCCCACATCAGTAGATACCCCTTTTGACCTGTTATGCGCTGTGGCAGTCAGTCCCTGCCGGTCTACATGGGCTTAGCCCGATATGACTTGAAATAAGAATCTCTCTCTCTCTCTTGTCAACGCTTGCGGGCCCCGATGGGCTCGCCAAAGGAGGCATCCTGCTGCCGAAATTGCTCTTGTCACTCAAGCAGGCTCACCAGGCCGCTCTGCTTGCGCAATATTGGCTCGTCAATGGTCCCTCTCCTCATCGCCAGGCGCCGGTCTTCGCACTGTCGACGCTTGCCCACCAGGACCGCCCTTCGTCCCTGCCCTACACTCCTTTGACAGGACTCATTCCATCCGCCTCTCACGGCTCCGGCTCGACCTCAACGACTCGGGTTCGTTGAAGGCAAGGATGAGGCTTGGGACCGGGCTCTGCCAGTGCGGCGAGGCGGTGGAGACCCGCCAGCACTACATTCTCAAGTGCTCGTTGTACACGGACAAGCGCCAGCAGCTCCGGCGCGAAATCGGCTCATCGAACCTCAACATGGACAAGATCTTCTCTCCTCGTTTCGTCTGCCCTTTGCTTCGTTTTATTCTGGCTTCTTATTGCTTCCCACAGTTGTACGCTCCTCTCCCTCTCGTAGCTCCCGCAGCAACCGGCGGCTTGCCCTGATAGGTGACCCCAAGTCAACATGGGTCTTCCAGGCCTGAATGACTCTAAATTCGGAATTTATCCTATCCTTGTTCTGCCTCGCTGCAAGCTCTGCAAGCTCCCTACACCACATTCTACCAGACGACCCGCCCACCCCCCACTCCCGCCTTCGTCGTCATCGTCGTCGCAGAAGGTCAAGATCAACACTGGCATTATCTCGAGGATTTCTTAATGCCTGGCGTTGTTCTTTGCCTCCCCAGCCCTACACACCCTCCTCTATCAGGCCACCCACCGCGTCCTTCTACCTTGACTCCCCTCAGTTCTATCACACTTCTCCACTCTCACTTCTACTTTTCCGCTCCACTTCTGCCACCCTCCCACTGTACCACTACTGTAGCCTACCCACATCAGTAGATACCCCATCCAACATGTTATGCGCTGTGGCAGCCAGACTCTGCCGGTCACCATGGGCTTAGCCCCGATTTGACTTGAAACAGGAACTTCTCTCTCTCTCTCTTGCGCTCTCAAGCTCCTCCCGCCCAACCACTTTGGCGCCTGACCCGGTCAATCTGCCAAAGACACGGTAATCTGTTTCGTGGACGAGATCAGGCGACAGTGGCGGAACGGAAATGTCGTGCTTGGAATCACCCTCGACATCGCGAAGGCGTTCCCGTCAGTTCAGACGGACGTGCTTGTGCGGGACATGGAGGAGAAGGGCTTACCACACTCACTCCATCGCTGGGGTGAGTCGTTCATGTCGAGCTGGACGTGTACCCTGTGATTGGGGGGCGTCAGCAGCGATCCTGTTGAGTGGAGGAGCGGTCTACCGCAAGGCTCACCACTCAGCCCGATCCTGTTCCACCTCTACAACTCCGGCGCCCTCCAGGCATGCGAGACGCCAACATCCACGGCCTTCAGCTGGATTGACGACCTGAATGTCCTCGCCTGGGGCAGGAACATCGAGGACGCCGTCAGCGCAGCCCAACAGATTGCCCCCGGTCTTGAGGAATGGTCAGCAACACACCACAGCCTTTTCAAGCCATCCAAGACCCTCGTCATGCGATTCTCGCCTGCACGAGACCGCTCCCCCGACGACCCAAAGGTCGTGCTCTGCGGCGAGGAACTCGAGTTCTCATCAGCGCTTGGGATGCTTGGAGTGACAATTGACAAGCGACTCACCTTCAAGGAGCAGGAGCACATGGCGTCGCGCATGTCGAAGGCTTCGAAGGTGCTCATAGGCGTCGGGTTGCTGGCAAAGAGTTGAGGCGGGTTGAAGGTGAAGTTTGTGCGGCGTCTGGTCGACGCGGTGGTGCTGCCGCGCTTGCTTCTCCAACACGTCCGACTCTGCAAACTCCCCACCCCCAGCCAGCTCCTCGGCAACCCCTCTTACCGTGACCCCCTCCTTGACTTTCTCGACCGCACCAACCGTTTCCCATGACTCTTGAGGTTGCCTGAGGCAGAAAAGAAGGACAAGGAGTAAAGCCTGTCAGGAGACGCAGAGAGAGTGCGTGGACGACCCGTCAGCTTCATCCCTCCACCTCCTCCACTCCCTCATCGCACCTCCCTCCCTCGGAACCCCTCCAATCTGCCTCCAACATGCACACTGCCTCTTAAACGCCTAAATGGAGGCCCCTGATGACGTCTCGACCCGCCCCAGCCTCGTTGGAACTCGTCCCCGCCATTCTTCCAAATCGAGACCGAAAACTACCGTTTCTTGCCCATTCCGCAACCTTCTTGCTTCATTTCAGATAACTCCTACACAACAAACACCCCTCTGCCTGTCTAACTGCCTCACTGTGCCCCGCACTCACTCGTCTTTGTTCTATTCCAGTTCTTGACCATCTCTTCCTCTCACTCACTTCTGACTCGCCTTCTGCCGTGTCTGTCCACTACATTGACTCCCACCCTTCAGTAGTATACCCACTTCTGCTTTTTTGCCCTGTGGCAGCCAGCCTCTGCCGGTCATCATGGACTCAGACCCGAGTTGACTTGAAGCAAGATTCTCTCTCTCTCTCACCCTGGTCAACTACCTCACCCCGCCCTCACAAGAACTACCACAATGCTGGATTCCCTGCTACCACAAGTGCACTCTGGACCGCTCACAAGCGGGCGACAATTGCGCGATGGAACGCGGAATGGTCATGATTGTCGCTCCCTCGCCCCCTCGCCAACGATATCAAGACCGCCTCCTTGGGACACAAGTACTTCACTGGCCTCTCTCAATGCCAAGCAAGCCTCCTCTGCCCACTGGGCATGGACACCTGGCTTTGAACAAGCAGTGTGCTCACCTTGACCTGACAATAACCGATCTTTGTGAGTGCGGCAACTGGCAAGGTAGAGAGTTGGGAACACTGCCTCATCCTAATTCAATCAGGCTTGACACTGGGTTAACAAACACAGCCAACTTTGCCAGACCCCTACAGTTGGAGTGCTCCTTGGCAACATTAACTACTGCAGCCCCCTTTTCAACTTCATCCCTTTGCATGCAGTCAGCCCTGGCAAGGCAACTATATGCTGAACGACGTCCATGCCGGGAAGCGTTGCCGTTTTGTCTCCACTTCTCCTGCGCCTCCTTCCTTCCCTTCATTGCTTGCTCTTCTTTCTTTCGGACCCTCTTTCACTTGGGCTCTCCCTATCCTGGTATTGGCCCTATGGCGAAGTCGAGGTAGATATGCTGGTGTCTAATTATATACGCACGTTGATGCCGCCCACTCTGTCCGAAGGGGATCTAGCTCATCGGTAGAGCGCTCGCTTAGCACCTTTCTTGCAAAGTGTGCGAGAGGCGCAGGGTTCGACTCCCTGGTTCTCCAAGTCCTCTTTTGCCAGCGCGTCCCGTGCGTCCAGGGAAGCCCTTTTTTTGTTGCTCTGCAGCTGTGTGCGCACTCTATGATTGATAGACAGAGCCCCCGGACTCTGTGTGCCCGGGACTGCAAAGCAAAAAGGTCATTTTGCTTCAGAGTGCAGTGGGTACATGGCCCCGACGCTGCAAAAAAAAGGTAATGCGACCAGAGCAGGATTTGAACCTGCGCAGGCAGAGCCTAACAGATGGGCAAGAGCTTTGTAATTCTAGTCTGTCCCCTTAACCGCTCGGGCATCTGGTCCGAAAGCCGGTAGGTCGGCCAAAAGTAACGTTTACAGGCAGTAGCGGTCTCTCCCTGCACGTGCACCGCCCCGCTCCCCCGCTTGCTTCCCTTTGTTCTCCTGCGGCGCCAATGCGGCGCCTTTGTCCTCGCGCGCGCTCAAGACGGCGCTGTGACGATGCTCGCAGACTCAGGTTCTCAGTCCAAGCAAGCACTGCAAGTGGCCTTACAACACACAGTCCAGGCTACTCCAATCACCGCCCCTTTCCATCCTCCTCCTCCTCCTCCGGATCTGGCCGTGTGTCAAAGACAGGCTTCGGCTGTGTTGCCGCCCAGGCCTTGGTCCAGGTGTTGTCATTCGGATCCGCCGATGCGTACTTGAGCAGCGCCTCACGCGGCTGCAAGAAGCAAGCCGGAGTCAGCCGGACAAGACACAACATGGAAGAGCGAGAGCGCAACACGCACATCTTGGTCGCGCATCGAGTTGCGCACGAGTCCCTGTACGACATGCTGCGTAGCAGCAGCACCGATCCGTCCGCCGCGACCCGGTCCGACGACAGGCGGCACTGCCAGACACACAAAGGAGTTAGCGAAACCTTCAGATCAGCGCACAGCAGGACGTACTCGGTTTGAGCGTCTTCTGCGGGTCGTGCCGCTCCTTCTCCCTCTTCCGCTTGCCGCCCCTTCCGCCCGCGCTCGTTCCCATACCTCCGTCCTCCTTGAACATCGGCAGCGAGTGCGGCGCGATGATCGGTCGGTCAAGATCGGCAGCAGAAGCAAAGTCGTCTGCTGCGCGAGCCTTGGGCGCACGCGTGACGGCGAGAGTGACGCCCTTGACAGCCGTGGCAGGCGAGTAAAGAACGTGAATGGACCCATCGGCCGAGCCCGTCAGGATCTGCGTGCTCGATAGGGTGTCAATGAAAGGCTCAATCAGTGCGAGTCAGCGCGCAACGCACCTGGTTGATCCGAGGATGCCAGAGAACCCGTACGACCGAGAATGGCGAGATGTCTGCCGAGAGATGGGCTCAGTTTTCGCTCGACGAAAGGAAGGTCCTCTGACTCACCAATCGCGCGAACGAGCTGCAAGCCATCCGTTGCGAACACCATGACTCGTCCTGCGCCCATTCCTCCCTCCTTCTCAAGCTCTTTTGCCCGCTCCTCCTCGACGCCCCCGGCCAGTACACCCGCACGCGCTCCCGCTGTTCCTGTCAGGACGTATCGACTGTCGGGGGAGAAGACGGCGTTCGTCTCCGAATTGAGCGAGGGAAGGGAGGTCGCAACTGCGAGAGGCTTCTTGAGGGCCTTCGGGTTCCAGACTGCACGGCACCCTCGCGTCAGTGCTGCTCGATGATACATTCGAAGGGCCACGGACGCACGCTTGAGCGTTCCGTCACCACCGCGAGTAGCGAGGTGCTTGCCGTCTGGCGAGAAGACGATGGAGCTGGTGATCGTGCCCTTTTCGTGCGCGCCTTCGCATGTCTGACCGAGAAATGTTCAATAACAGCGAGATGAAGAATAAGAAGCGAACGCACCGAGTTCGGCCGCGTGAAGTTGCTGCTCGCCGCCCAAAGGTGAATAGCGCCGTCGTCACACGCTGCACGATTCGAGCTGGATTAGCCGAGCACGAAGTGGAATCCCTTCTGGACGCCCACGCACCCGCCGCAATCGTCTTCCCGTCCGGACTCCAAGCGCAAGCCGTCACCTTGGTCTTCCCGCCCCGCTCCTTGCTCTTGACCACAATGACCGACTTGCTTTTCCGCCTGTTCTCGCGGTCCCAGATGCGGAGCGTGCTGTCGGATGAGGCGGTGAGGAAGAGCGAGTGGTTCTTCGGGTGCCAGGCGACGGCAGTGACCGCTGCGACGTGACCGCTGCGAAGGGGAGCGGTAAGCAGGTGCAGGTGGTCAGCAGCGAGTGATGCGGACGCACTCAGTATTGCGCAGGTCGCGGATGTACATGTCGCCCTTGTTGAACTCGCAACTGCAGAGAGGCGGAGGGATGAGCTCGGCAAAGAAGAATGAGGCATGGCCAGCGCACATCTCGGCGCCGTCGCGGTCGTACAGCTTGACCTGGGTCGAACCTGTCGCAGCGAGGAACGAGTCGCCAGTGATCGAGAACTGGACATCGAGGACCTGCGCAGACGAACCAGGTCAGATGCGCTCAAGGAGAAACGGACGAAGAAGACTCGCCTGGTGTCCTGGTCGACACTCGAAGGTCCGGAATGGCTTGAAGCTTGCGTTCATCCCGCCAAAGTCCCACAGCTTGCAGTCGTAGTCGTACGAGCCGGAGACGACTCGCGCGCCAGCTGGGTCGACAGAGAGAGCGGAGACAGTCTGCGAAGCTGAAGCGGTCAGCTCGCAGCATAGCGGGGAGTACAAGAGCTGCAATCACCTTGGTGTGGTCCTTCATGACGACCTCGTGCGTGACTGGCAGCTCATCGCGTCCTTCTCCGCCAACCCCACTTGCTTCGCCCGCCTCTGCGCCGTCTTCTACCTCCACTGCTGGATTCTCCCGTAGAGGCGTCGCATCTTCCGCCTCAGAGTCGACCGCGGCAATCTGCTTTGCGATCTGCGCCCGAGACGCCGGGTAAGCGTTCCATCAGTCGGCGAGAGGTGAGGCGAACTCACAGGCTGTACGGGGGCATCTGCGCGCTTTGTGGTATCGATGCGGCTCGTATCTGCCTTCTTCGGAGGCGCCTTCTTGCCGAACGCGAGCGGCAGACCCGTCAACTCGTCCATCGCTGCAAGTCCGAAGTGAGCGGGAGGAGGAAGAGAGATGAGAGGCCGGCTTGGCTCCGCACTCCGCCAGACAGCGCTCAACTCAGGCTTACTGGCGAGTTGCTGTGCTTCCTGTGCAGCCTGCCTTGGCCCTGCCTTCAGCCACCCCTCAGTCCTCGCCTTCACCGCCTCGTCTCCTCATCGCATTTCGCCTTCGCCTCCCTCCTACGGCTTCCGCCATGAGCGCACCCAAGAAGCCCATCGACATCAGCCTCGACGCCCTCGGCGAGGCAAAGAAGCGTGCGGGCATCGACGGTGCGTCGACATCTCCTCTTGCCCCACTCTGGGTGTCTCCCGATCGCGCGAGCTGACCTAGCCGTTCTCGCGGCCTGCAGGTGTCGTGGCGGGTACCTGTGCGGGCTTCTTGAGCGGCTTCTTGTCAACCAAAGCGTTCAAGATGTCGAGGAACACAGGGTGCGTTCGCCGGACTCTGTTCCGCTCGATCTCGGGCCCAAAGGCGGACTCTTCTTCACCGTGCAGCGTATTGACATCACACGACATGCGCATAGACTTCTATCGGGACTGATGGCGGGCTCGTTCGTCGGGTAGGTTGCTGCTCGTCTCTTCCATCCCTTCTGCCCTCGCTGAAATCGCCTGTCCTCGCACAGCTACATCTTCACCGTCGAATCCCTCAAACTGCACGTCGCCAAAGCGCGAACAGCCCAGGCAGAGCTGCACCGGCATTTGATGGGCGAGTCAGCGGACGACATGATGCGAGGGGAACGAGGAGTCGGCGGGCTCGAGGGACTGGAAGACAAGTACCAGACGACGCGAGGCGATCACTGAGGGGAGTGAGGGGTCGCGCGGGCCTGTAAATACTGATGCGATGCGAAGGGGACACCACTCTCGCTCAGAGTCTGGCTGCGAATCCCTGGCTGCGCGAGCGAGTAAGCAGCGGAAGTATCGACAACAAGCGATGCATCTACAACAAGCAAGCAGACCATGCGACTACCCCGTCTCATGCCTTGCGCGGGAACAAGCTGAAGACGCTCCCGAACGTCGACAGCCTCGGCAACATGAGCCTCACGTCCTCCTTGACCCTCGACTTCTCCGACTCGCTGAGCTGGCGGATCTGCAAGCGGTAGGCGGTCTGCATGTGCGCACGTCAGCGTCATTGCGCAAGAACGAGACGGGAAGCCCGCACCTCGAACTCCTGCATGCCCTTGATCTGTTCCAACAGGTCGAGCGAGTCCTTCTGCGAGCGGCAAGACGGCATCAGCGAGCAAGCAGGTTGAGCTGGGCGGAGCGCAAGCACACCTCGGCTGCGGTCCTTTCCGCCCGCTCGATGTCACGCCGCTTGAGGAATTCCTGGCGACGCTGCTCGTGCGTCATGAGAGTGGAAGACCTGTCGGCACAGAAAGCGTACAACGTCACTCTGCTGCAGAGCTTGATTATCGCCTAGCGGAAGAAGGTCATTTCCACGCACTCTTTGACGATCTTCGTCTCGGTCGGACGCTTCGTCGACGGCGCGGCGGCCTTTGGCGTGTTCTGCAAGGACAAAAAGTGTACAGTCAGCTTCCATGCGCTGAGCGAGAAGAGCGCGCCGACGCACCGGGGTCTCCTTCTTCTGCTTGAACTGCATGATGTTGAAACCCGTTTTCGGCGTGGACGCAGAACTCTGGGTCTTCGCCTGCTCTGCCACGCCAACCTTCTTTATTGATGGGATCCTGCCGAGCGCTCCGCCTTTAGCCACGAGGCCCGATCCGCCAGCCTTCACAGTGGAAGGCGTCGCGCCTCCCGGCGTTCCAACGGCCGACGGCGCCACTGCACCCTTCGCAGCCTGCGCGAGCATTTCCTCCGCCTGCCCCTCGTCTGCAACAGGACCATCACCCGCCGCAGACGAGAGCTTGGGCTTCTTCCGCACAGGCGTCGAGCCAGACGATCCTCCTCCTGCCGCTGCTACCGCCGCAGCAGTTCTCGCGCGGCTCTTCGCCTTAGGTTCCTCCTTCTTCGCTGGTACAGCAGCTGGGGCGGGAAGTGACGCGGGTGCGGGCGGAGGAGGTGTGGGCGCCGACTCGGCGGGTTTCGGCGAAGGAGCGGTGGAAAATGGAGCGGCGGAAAGCGAGGGAAGTGTTGCGGGAGAGGGAATGGGCGGGAGTGATGCGAGAGAGGCGGCAGCGAGAGACGGTGCGGCGCTAGCCTCGTTTGTTGCGAGGGAAGGAGGGTGGACGTCCGTGGTGGGCGGAACGGTGAGAGTTGCTTCAAGCGCGGAGGGCTGGGTAGATGGAACTGGAGGCGCTGTGACGGCTTGCGGTTCGGCGAGGATTGCGGAAAGAGATGAGGGCGGGCGGCTGGGAAGCGGGGTGAGGGTGGATCCGGACGGGATGGGCGGCTGAGATGCCACAGGCGTCACCTCCGGCACTGCAGGCGAACCAGAAGTAGTCGCCAAAGACTGCTGAACGGCGGGGAGAACCGGCGGAAGAGACGAAAGTTGGTTGGACGTGTCGACAGGCGTTTCGGCAGGCGAAGCGACAAGCGGAGCGCCCGGCACCGTAGCCGTCAATACATTTCGGTCGCCTGTCAGAGCCTGATCGGTCGAAGTCGACGGAGTAGGATGAAGGTCGAAGGTCGGCGGAGGACTGGCGACGGGAGGAGGTGCCGCCGCGCCTGACGGCCTCGGCGAGGGTTCTGTCGCACTGGTCGATGCAGTAGGCAGAAGAGGTAGGGCATCGGGTAGTGCCGCAGTGCCCGCCAGGCCCGCCGCAAGTGTCGGAGCGGCCGCGCCCTCATCCTCCGACTCGCTCCTGACCTTGGCGATCCTGCGCTTCTTCGGCGGGGCCCTCGCTTTCGATGTAGCTTTGGGCTTGCTGGGCGTAGGCTCGGGACTCACGGCCGCCCCCGCCGGTCCGGATGACTGTCTCCTCGTTGAAGCCCTCCGAGCGGGTGCAGGCGGCGCTGGACTCGTTTCGGGCGATCCGGACGCCGCCTTACCCTTGCTCGTAGACTTGCGGGCAACACGCTTGGCAGACGGCGGAGGCGGCGGAGCAGGGTCAGCGTGTTGAGGTGGGGAGAGATCCTGGTCGTAGGCGGAGTCGGCGTCGGAGAGCGGGGACGAGTCGTAGGCCAAGAGCGCGCTGGGTCTGCGCTTCTCGCGCACGGGACGGCCTTCAGCCATGGTTCGAGTCGACGCAAGCGAGAGTGGACGAAGGTTAAGCTGCAGACGCGATGAGGACGAGGGTTGGCTCGAGCAAGCGACCGAAGCGATGGCAGGGGTGCAGCCAGCGGGCAAACAGGGCCCGAGCCTGTCGCCTGACAAGCTCAGGCAGGTCATCGGTGCGCCCCATCCCGTCCACTCTGTTCCCTCCCCGTCCTCATTAACTCACCGGCACTGGGACGCAAACAACTCGCGCTCCCGCCCGCTGACGTCGCGCATTGGACGCTGACACGCTCTTACCCGCTCCACACAGCACGGATACAGCAGCTCAAGGGCGAGGGCCTCACCGTCGAGACCTCGACAGAGCTCGCCAACCTCACCAAGATCATCCTCGCCCTCTCGCAGCGCCAGCGCGCTCAAAGTGCGCTCGAGATTCCCTTCTGCGTGTCAAGGAAGGCCGACAGGCAGCTGACGTGCTCCGACTGCAGCCAACGGCGTCTTGACGAACGGCATCACTACCCCTTCCGCCTCGACACCAGCCGCAGACGCCCCCGCTACCTCAGCAGCGACAGATGCTCCCGTTCCTCCAGTCTCTCCCTCTACCGTCCCTTTCACCCCCGAACAAGTCGCCGCGCTCCGATGCCAAGTCGTCGCCTTTCGCCTCCTCGCGCGCAACCAGCCCATCCCTCCAGCACTTCAGGCCGCCCTCGCTCAGCCTTCGAAGGCACTCGAGTACGCGGAGAAGCTGGAAGACGGAGCGGACAAGATGACGGGCGACGAGCTGAACCCGGAGTCGCTCGCGGCCGAGAGGGAGAAGGCGTTGGCGGCGGAAGCTCCAGTCGAGGAGGTCGAAGACCCGGACTCGCTCGTCTATCCCTACAACGCATTCCTTACGCCACAGGAAATCCTCCGCTCCTTCCATGGCGTCTCCGGCCGCCGAACCCTCCTCATCCCGAATCTCCTTCCCGCCGGCCTCGACCCGCAGTCTGTCATCGACGAGCGCAACCGCTTCATCGCCGCCCGCGTCCAGCAGCGCCGCACCGAACTCGAGCGACTGCCGTCGAACCTCTCGCAGAGCGACCTCTCGCAACTTGGCCTTGCCAGCGACAATGGCGAGTCGCTTGCCTCGCAGAAGATCCGCGCGCTCATCGAGCTCAAGTCGCTCAACCTGCTCGAGCGCCAGCGGGCTCTGCGCGAGCAGGTCGTCCAGGGCATCAAGCCGGCGTGCTCGCTTGCGCTCCCGCTCGACAGGTCTCTGTTCCGACGCGCACGCAAGCCGACGCTGCGGGACGCGACGGCAATCGAGGGCATCGAGCGGCGGCAGAAGCAGGAGCGAGAGCGGCGCGCGAAGCAGAAGCACCTCGACCATCTCGCCGAGATCACCGAGCACGGCCGGAACCTCGTTGCGGCCCACCGTGGCCACGACGGCAAGTTCCAGAAGCTCGGCAAAGCGTTGCTCAAGTTCCACGTCGACGCCGAGCGCGAGGAGCAGAAGCGTGTCGAGAAGGTCTCGAAGGAGCGTCTCAAGGCGCTCAGGGCGGACGACGAGGAGGGTTACCTCAAGCTCATCGACACGGCCAAGGACACCCGTATCACTCACTTGCTCCGCCAGACCGACTCCTTCCTCGACTCGCTTGCGGCCGCCGTGTCGGCGCAGCAGAGCGAGGCGCGCGCAGAGGTCGAGGACGCAGGCGGAGACGCCGTTCCGCAACAAACCGGAGGCGAGGACGAGCGCGTGGACGAGAGCCGCTTCGGCGCGTCTGCCGTCTTCCAGGACGATGTCGCGAAGGAGAAGGTCGACTACTACAACGTTGCCCACCGCGTCAAGGAGACCATCACGAAACAGCCGTCGATCCTGATCGGTGGCGAGCTCAAGCCGTACCAGATCAAGGGCCTCGAGTGGATGGTGTCGCTGTACAACAACCACGTCAACGGCATCCTCGCCGACGAGATGGGCCTCGGCAAGACGATCCAGACGCTGTCGCTCATCACGTACCTCATCGAGACCAAGAAGCAGCCCGGCCCTTACCTCGTCATCGTCCCGCTCTCGACCATGCCGAACTGGATCTCCGAGTTCGAGAAATGGGCGCCGTCCGTCAAGGTCGTCTCGTACAAGGGCACGCCAATACAGCGCAAGCAGGCACAGCAGGAGATCCGTACTGGCAACTTCCAGGTGCTCCTGACGACGTACGAGTACATCATCAAGGACCGGCCGCTCCTCGCCAAGACCAAATGGCTCCACATGATCATCGACGAGGGCCACCGCATGAAGAACACGCAGTCGAAGCTCTCGCTCACCCTCACGCAGTACTACTCGTCGCGCTACCGCCTCATCTTGACCGGCACGCCGCTCCAGAACAACCTCCCGGAGCTGTGGGCGCTGCTCAATTTCGTCCTGCCCAAGATTTTCGGCTCGGTCAAGTCGTTCGACGAATGGTTCAATGCGCCATTCGCCAACACCGGCGGCCAGGACAAGATCGAGCTGAACGAAGAAGAGTCGCTCCTCGTCATTCGCCGTCTTCACAAGGTTCTCCGGCCGTTCCTTCTTCGCCGTCTCAAGAAGGACGTCGAGTCCGACCTGCCCGACAAAGTCGAGCGCGTCATCAAGTGCAAGATGAGCTCGCTTCAGCTGAAGCTCACGAAGCAGATCAAGGAGCACGGGATGATCTTTACCGAGGGTCCGGGCGAGAACAAGAAGCAGTCGGGCATTCGCGGATTGCAGAACCAGATCATGCAGCTCCGCAAGGTGCGTCTCGCCTCGTCTGGCTACTCCTCACGCTCGACTGATTCCGCTCCGTCACGCAGATCTGTAACCACCCCTTCGTCTTCGAGGGCGTCGAGCGCACAATCAACCCGACTGGCCTAAACGATGCGACGCTCTACCGCGTCGCCGGCAAGTTCGAGCTGCTCGACCGCATCCTCCCGAAGCTGTTCGCGACCGGTCACCGCGTCCTGATGTTCTTCCAGATGACGGTGCGTTTCTCGTCCGCTACTAACGAATCAGCGCCACGCTGATCTGGAGAGCCCCCAGACCGTCATGACCGTCTTCGAGGACTACCTCAACTTCCGCCGCATCGAGCACCTCCGTCTCGACGGTATGACGAAGCACGAGGACCGCGCGACCCTCCTCAAGCTCTTCAACGACCCGAATTCGAAGTATCCGATCTTCATCCTGTCGACCCGCGCCGGAGGTCTCGGACTCAACCTGCAGACGGCCGACACCGTCATCATCTTCGACTCGGACTGGAACCCGCATCAGGACTTGCAGGCGCAAGACCGCGCACACCGTATCGGTCAGAAGAAGGAGGTCCGCATCCTTCGTCTCGTCACGGAGCGCTCGGTCGAAGAGCACGTCATGGCGGGAGCGGCGCGCAAGATCGAGATGGACAAGAAGATTATCCAGGCCGGTCGCTACGACAACAAGTCGACGGCGGAGGAGCGCGACGCTTTCCTGCGCGCGTTGCTCGAGGCAGACGACGGCGAACCCGAGGAGGACGACGATGCGGACGAGGCGGACATGCTGAACGAGGCGATTGCGCGAACCGAGGAGGAGCGTGCCATCTTCGCTCAGATGGACCGCGACAGGCGTGCTGCGGAGGAGGCGGCATGGGCGGCAGCGGGCAACACGGGCAAGCTGCCCGAGCGCCTCATCCAAGAGTGGGAGCTGCCGGAGGTCTATCGGATGGACCACCCGAAGGCGGTCGTCGAGAGCGACGTCCGACCTGACGGCTCGAGGAGGAACCGCACCCAGGTTACGTACGACGATGGCATGTCTGAGGAGCAGTGGTTGCAGGCGCTCGAGGATGAGGATGACGACTCGTCGAAGAAGCGCGGCAAGCGACGAGCTGCCCAGGGCACGCCCAAGTACAGCTTCGGCGAGGATGGCGGTGCCAGCGAGTCGGACGGCGACGAACCGAGGAACCGCCTCAAGCGTGGCAGGGTCAGCGGGACGGGCACGCCATCCATCAATGGCGACGAGGGAGGCTCGCGGGCAGGCGGCGGAAAGAGGCGCAAGGTGCTCTCGCCTTACCAGGAGAAGCTCCGCCAGTGCTTCGAGGAGCTCCTGACCGAGGTGGAGAACCTGGACAACGTGTGTCGCCGTTCTTTATCTCGCCGCGTGATTGCGCTGACGAACGTGTACTTCTGCAGCCGACAATGGGCCACCAATGTGCAGGCGTACGGTTCCGTCCGCCTCTTTCACACGGGCTCCCCCTGACGTCTCGAGTTTTGCAGCTCTTCAACGAGTTGCCGCCGAAGCGCGACTACCCCGACTACTACCTGATCATCACGCAGCCGATTGTGCGTCACGTCTTCCGATCCGATGAGCCTTCGCTGACCACGCGTTCTCACCCGCAGAGTCTGAAGGAGATCAAGAAAAAGGTCAACAACGGCACTTACCCCGATACCGACGCCTTCGCTCGTGACATCCACCTGATGCTCAACAACGCGATGACCTACGTACGTATTCGAGTTTGCTGAGCCTCAACGCTGCTCTCGCTGACTGTCTGTCCCTTTTTCTCCCTGCAGAACGAGGAGGGCAGCGTAAGTCTGATTGCCTTGTTCCGTGCCTCCGCACGTCCGACTGACCTTCCGTGGCCTGCACAGATCGTCTACGAAGATGCACGTCTGCTGCGCGAGACGTTCAACGGCGCCTACGCCAAGCTCACCTTCAACGGCCAGCCCCTCGACCCTCTTCCCGTCCTTGAACGCCCTACCGCATGACCCCCGCCCTCTCCTGTACATCTTCTCGCTTACTCGCATGCTCCTCTGTGTCTGTCTCTGCGTTACTGTCGTCCCTGTGCAAACACCCGCGCTTCCCAAAGTTTCCCTCCTCCTCCTCGAGAGTGACCTGGCGCAGGCTTCTTCTTCCCGGGCCTACTGCTACCCTGCGGACGCAGAGCAAATACTGAGTGCATTGCCGACCCTGCTCGGCCCTCAGAACCCCGCGCGAACGGCAGCGAACGCGACGCCGCCGAGGACCAACGACTTCCGTCATTTCGTCCCGTTGCGCTTCTTCCCCTCGCCCACAACGCTTGCACAGCTCGGACACGGTGCGAGCACCTGCTTACCGTTCTGTAGCACCCGTCAGAGCTGACCATCTGCCCCATCGTCGCCAGCATCGCCAGCCTGCACCACTCGCAACCCCGATAGCCTCGTGCATCCATCTCACGCAGATCCCGTCTCGCCAACCCCAGAACGGCCTAGCCAGCACCTCAACCCACTCGAACATGTCCTCTGAGGCACCCGCACCCAGCAAGAAGGCCACCGAGCCCATCCTCTACGGGTTCCCTTCGACCGACGACCTCTCGCAGGCCCTCGCCAACTTCGTCCTCGCGGCGCAGGACGAGGCGCTGAAGAAGCAGGCGACGTTCAAGATTGCCATCTCTGGCGGCTCGCTGCCCAAGGTGCTCGGCAAGAACTTGATTGGCCGCTCCGACGTTCCGTGGGACAAGTGGTGCGTCCCGCTGGACCGCTTTCTCGTGCGGACGAAGCGACGTGCTGGTCGACACGGGGCGCTGACCTAAGGTTGACTGCACAGGGAGGTCTTCTTCGCTGACGAGCGCGTCGTTCCCCTCGACCACGAGGAGTCCAACTTCCGCCTCAACGACGAGAACCTCTTCACCCATGTCCCCATCCCTCGCCAAAATATCCACGTTATCGACACCTCGAAGCTCGACGACCCCGAGGCGGTCGCGGACGACTACGAGAAGCAGCTCGTCGCCTCCTTCGTCGGATCCAGCTCTATCGCCTTCCCTCGGTTTGACCTCGTTCTTCTCGGCATTGGGTGCGTCCACCTACTCTGAGCGCTCTGGGGACACGCCTTGCTGACGAAACGACCTTGGGACAGCCCCGATGGCCACACCTGCTCGCTCTTCCCTGGCCACCCTTTGCTGAACGAGATGGACGGCTGGGTCGCCTGGCTCGACGACTCGCCCAAGCCTCCCCCCACGCGCATCACGCTCACCTACCCCGTCCTGAATCACGCGCACCGCGTCGCGTTCGTCTCGTCGGGCGAGAGCAAGCAGGAGATTATGGAGAAGGTGCTCGACCACCCCGAGGAGGGTCTTCCGGCGAGCAGGGTCAAGGTCATCTCGCCTGGCCGGGTCTACTTCTTCTCGGACGAGGCGGCCCTCGGGTGCGTTTCCATCAGTCACCATGAGCGAGCGAGCGAGCTGACCTGTCCGACCTGTCCTTCTTCCGCCTGCGCAGACGCGTCAAGTACGAGCGTACCAAGTTTGAGGACTCGTCAAAACTCTGAGCGTTGCAAGGTGTCCATACCGCTTAAGCTCTCTTTTCTAGCCGTAGATACAACAGATCGCAGTCATGCAGTCTTGGGAAGTTCTTCAACACTTCTGGGCGCCTTGGCTCTCGCGCGAGGTTCATGCGGATACTGGTCTGTTGCAGCGTGCCGAGAGATACGAGAGACCGGACGGAGAACGGGGTATAAGAGAGGGAATCCTGGAGGGGTATTGCGAGGTGGGCAAAGGGGGAGAACGACAGGTGCGAGACGGAGGAGTGCTGACATAAAGGGACCGATAACGAGATCAATCTCAGAAAATGAGGCTGGGGGAGACTCAGGACGCGTAGGGCTTCGAAAACAGGGAGTCGGCGTGGTCGCAGAGGATCTCGACGAGCTTGGCCTTGGGACCCATGTCGCTCCACTCGCGCGCGGCGATCGGTGAGCGCAAGACGGTGGCTGCGGGAAGACCAGACGTTAGCGAAACACGTGAACAGAGCGAGGCGCGAGGTCGTACGGCCAAACACGACACCGAGGTTTGCGGAGGTCATCTTGTTCTCGTTCGCGAGCGACTTGATCCTGAGAATCGCAAGACGGTCAGTTATTCCATTGAGACCGGGCGGAGATCTGACGCACCGGTTCAAGTGGCGGAAGAGAAGTCGGGCGGTGTGGAAGTGAGCAGGCGGAAGTCGGTACAAGACTCGCTCAATCGCCCGCAGGCGCTCATCGCCTTCCGGGAGCTCTGCAGTAACGAAGGAATGTAAGCGAACCATCTCGAGTGGCTCGAAAGACCCGAACGAACCGGCTGCGGCAATGAACTCTTCGTGCAGCTCGTGCGTCATGAGTGGGTTCGGCAGCGAGCGGAAGTAGTTCTTCAGGCAAGACGTGATTGCTGCGATGTCGTTGAACTTGTCCCGGTCCTCAAGGTCGAAGTCTTGCCCGCGCTCGAAGTATTGCGTGATGAGCTTCGTCTGGCCCATGCCGCCGGTCTTGCGGTAGATGCCCTCATAGGTCATGCCTGGCGGGGTCGGAAGCATAAGCGCAAGAGTGAGAAAATTAGCTGGCAGTCCAAGACGCACCATAAGCTTCGACAGCCGCGATACACTTGGTCACAACGACGGGAACCTCGGACCCTTCCTTGTCGGCCTGCGTCGCAAGGCCGCCGGTGAACATGGGGGGTCCGGTCGGCGTGAAGTTGAGCGTGTCGTCCTGCGGCGGGACGGGCGGGCCGCGTCCAGGGTGACAGCCGGTAAGGTACGGCGCGCACTTGGCGTGCGCGTACGAGCCGCAGGCTGTGCAAGTAAGCAGGAGCTCCGTCAGTAACCTGCTGGAGCCGGAATCGCACGTCGTTACGCACCAGTGCAGCGGACTTCCGCGAGACCCCACATCTTGTCGCCGCAATAGTCGCACCTGACCGGTCGCAAGATGCTAGTCTGCTGGAAGACGTGTTGCTTGACATTCGAGTCGATGGAGCCGGCTCGCATCGAAACGACAGGCGACTTGTTGCCAGGCGGCGGGGGCGGGAGCTGCTGGTTCGCCTTGGAGGTCTCACTCTTGCCCTTGCTCTTGCCCCAAAACTTGTTGCGACTCGACGTCTCGACGACTTCGGGCCGCGCAAAGCGATGCATCGACTCGCCTTCGCCAGGCGAGCTGATGTAGCGAGCGGTGGCGAGGGGCGAGCGAGCGCCGGAAGCGACGGAGGAGAGGAGACTGGCGTTGCTCGGCGAGTGCATGTGGCCGTTGCGAGACGGTGCGGGCGACTTGGCCGACAAGAGCTGCATTTTGGCGAGCGACTCTTGCAAGTTGGCGATCTGCCTCGTCGCGTCGGCATTCTTCTCCGCGAGGGCGACGTTGCGCGTCTCCAGCACAGTCGTCTCCGCGAGGTGGGCATCGCGGACCTGCTTGAGCTCGGCGACCTGGCGCATCAGGTCGTCCCGCTCCGCGACGAGCGCGCTGATCTCGTCCCGATGGGCGTCCTTGATGGCCTCGAGCCGCGAGTTGAGCGCTTCCGCGACCTCGTCCTGCGTGCTCGCCAGTGACGAGCGATCGGGCGCACCCGTCTCTTCGCCCAGCACCGTCAGCTCGGCCACCTGCGCCGTGGAGAGGGCCACCTCGGCCTTGAGCTGGCTGAGGTGCTTCTCCATGCCGATGACCGAGTTACGCAAGTCCTTCGACTGGCGCTTGAGCGACTCGGCCGTCTTCTGTTCCTGGTCAACCTGCGCAAGTCGTCGAGCCTGCTCGATGAACTTGGTGCGGAGGAGCTCCATTTGCGCTTCGGCTTCGCGACGAGCGGCGACCTCCTTGTCGTACTCTTCCCGAGCGAGACTGAAGCCTTCGAAGGCGGATCGCGAGGCGCGCTTGCAGAGAGTCACGATCAGTCAGGTGTGGAAACGATCAAAGGCAGGCGAGAGCGACTCACGCGGAAAGCATTGTACTTGCTCTTGAGCTCCTTCATCTCGCGCTTGGTCGACTCGAGCTCCGACAAGAGCATCTCGACCAGCTCAACATCGAGCCCGGCAACCGACAAAGGCTGCTCGCCGTCTCCATCCGCCCTGCCGCTCGATTCGCGCTTCTGCATCTGGATCGACTCCCTCACCCTCCTCGCAACTTCGGACTTGCCTTCTCGCCCGCCGGCCTCGTCTTCGTCGCCCGAGACGTCAACGGGACCAGGGCTCGGGATGCGCTCGAGGTGGTCCTCGTTGAGCGTAAGCTCGGGAAGCGCTTTGCTCGAGCTGCCGAGTTTGGGTGAGGAGGGCGCTGAGCCGCCGACGTGGTTGAGAAACAGGAGCGTGTCGGGGTCGTAGAAGGACGCGGAGGCGTGGAGGTCCTGAGAGGCGGAGCGCGCGAGAGGCGGAGGAGGAGAGGTCGAGGGAGTGTGCGAGCGGTGGTCGCGCGGGTCAGCAGGCGGAGCAGGCGAGCTACGACCGACTGATCGCGAGTCGTCGAGTTGCGAGAGAATGCCGTCCTCGCCCAGTGAGGGACGCGCCGCGGCGCCGTAGAACCCAGATCGTCGGTTCGCAGCCTTGTCGACTCCCGAGGGAGCAGACAATGACCCGTTCCGACTCGTACTCTCCGGCAGCAGGCCCTCTGACTCCTCCCTGCGCTTGTGCGGCGGAGGCGCAGGCGATTCGGGCATAGGGTACGGCGAAAAGTCGCGCGGAGGGTCATCGAGACCGTCTGACTGTCGGCGCGGCAAGTCGCTGATCTGGCGACGCAAGGCGCTTGCGGTCGGTCGCCGCTGCGCCTCGGCCGGTTCGCCGTTATAGGCGGAAGCCTGGGACGGCGTGCGGGAGTGCGTAGCGGAGGGAGGCTGGAGGGACGTTGCGGAGCGAGAGAGGCTGGAGATGGATTGGACGGAGGAAGAAGGCGGGAGGGTAGCGCCGAGTCGAGACGGGTCGGACGAGTTGGTCAGACTTCGCTGGTGCTGCGTGCTGTCGAACGACGTCGAGCGGTGATACGGTGACGGCGGAAGCGGCCGCACATGCGACACCGAGTCGTTCTTCGCCGACGTCGAAGGTCCAGGAGTCGGCAGCGGAGGCGGCGGCGGCAAGTCAGGCAACTCGGCCGTCCTGTCCGCATCGCCTCCAACACTGCTCGACCTGCCACCCTCGCTCCGGCTTCGACTGGCCCGCGGCGCACTCGGATCCTTCTCCTTCTCCTTCTCCTTGCGCGCCTTGCGCTTCGCCTCGGCATGCTTGCGCGTCCGCGCGACCCGCTCGTTGTGGCACGCCATGCACCAGATGCCCTGCTGCGTCTTGGCGAAGATGAGCTCCTCGATGCGGTTCGAGCACGAGCGGCAGCGGAAGCAGTCGGCATGGTACGATTCGTCGCCTGCGCCGTCGAGGAGGTCAGTCGGGCTCGGTCGCTGGTCTTGTGAGGTCGCACGCACCTGTGACGATCGCCTCGTTGTGTATAGGTTTCTGACAGACGTTGCAGATGTAGGAGCAGTTCTCGCAGACGGGGCTGCCGTCCGAGAGAAGGAGGAGGTTCGTGTTGTGCTCGACGAGGTTGTGGCATTTGGCGCAGCGGCTGCCGGTGCGACAGCGGGTCAGCAAGCTATGCGTACGGTCCGTGGTGAGTTCGGAGGGCTTACAAGCTGGGGGAGGCGGCGACAAGGGTGAAGGAAGAACAGTCAGCATGCGTCTCACAATCTCGTCCGGATCCTCAAAAGCTCGCTCACCAGTCGACGCTGCGCGAAATGATCAAAGAGTCAGCAACCACGCTGCTGTACCAACCCGCGAACGAAGGAGAAAGCGAGGACGCACTGGAACAAGTACTTTCCGAACGAGACGACCGTGTTATCCAGCGCCTCGTCCAGTCCCTGCTTGCAAGCTGCGTCCGCCCAGGTAACCCATCAGCCCCCTTCTTCAAGAGACCCAGAAGCTCAAGAGCGGGAAGCAGACGCACCGTTACAGATCACCGGCTCACCTCCAGGTCCCAAACCTCCCGAGAACCCCTGCGTCGACGAGCTAGCCGACATAGCCTGTGCGATCGGTTCCATCTGGTCCGTTCAAGCGAGTCGCTGTACGGGGGGCAGAGGGAGAGAGGCGTGTGGGGAGAGGGGACTGGTAATTCCGAGTCGAGTGAGAAAGGAGCGAAGGTGAAAGAGTGGGTGGTGCGTGTAGCGTAGGCGTGCGAAGGGAGCGTCGTTCAATCAAGCGTCGCGTCTAATCTGCCTGAGTCGGTGGAGAGTGAAGTGTCGACCGATAGAGAGGCGAGGTGGTCGTTCTAACCGCGACACCAAGCACCAAGGGTGGATCCGTTCCTAGTTCCTCCCTTGCCCACTGATCCTGCGCGTCCTGTTTCAATCCTCCTGATCCTCCAGACGCGCGTCTCGATGAGCTGATGGAGCGAGGAGCGAGGAGGGGGCGGACGCGAACGCGGGGTTCGCCCGTTCGCGACAGAGGGACGACGTGGCCAGAGGAGAAGATCTGGGTGTGCTGGGACGGTCGACGAACGGCGGACGTCCTGACGGGCGCGTCGAGACGACTGCGGGGAGAACAAAAGCGAGACGAGAGACGAGAGCAACAAGGTTCTGAGCGGGCCTGGGAACGGCTCTCACCTCTCGCGGCGTGGGTGGACAGACTGGTATCACAGGAATCCAGAGAGTGGATGGATGTAGTAGAATACAGGGTAGCAACAAACGGGGAAAGGGAGAGTAGGACACAAGGTATGAGAAAAATCGAGAACGAGACGGGAACGAAACGAACCAAGGGTTCGTGGGTGTGTGTGAAAGGCGAAAAAAGAGAAGCGAGGTGGAGGGCTCAAAGCTGCTGCGGATAAGCCTGCCGACTAGCGGCCGCATCCTCCGCCATCGCACTCATGAGAGCCCTCCTCGCCGCCTCCTGACACGTCGCCTTGGCCTTCATCTCCGAGCACAAGTTATCGAGATCAAACTCGAACTTGCCGCCCGCCGCGAGAGCCGCCGCGGCGCGCGCTTTGAGGCCTTCGGAGCACTGAGAGTCGGCCGAGGAGGGCGAGAGGGCGGAGGGAGATTTGGGCGCCAAGTTGCCTGTGAAGAAGGCTGCGCCGGGTGAGGGGAAGGTCGTGCCTGCGATGCCCGAAGGAGGGGACGGCGAAGCGTTGATGAACTGCGCGATGAGGGGGTCTTCGGGCGAGAGGGACGACGACGCCGCGGGCGGAGGAGGCGGGATCGAGCTGAAGAGGTTGTCAAAGTCGTTGAAGGTCGACAAGCTGGTTGGTTGCATGCCCAGCGAGGCAAGCGGGTCGCGGTACGCCGTGAAGAGGTCCGCTGAGCCTGGTCCCGACGCGGTCGCGCTGGGCGGAGTCGGCAAGGAAGAGATGGACGAGCCGGACGCGCCAGGCGAGGGGGACGCGACGAACGAGCTGAGAAAGTCGTCGAATTGCGCTGCGGTCGTCGTCGGGATGGCGTTCGAGGCGGGCGGGGTCGAAGTCGAGCTGGGGAGAGTGAACCCGGGTCCGGCCGACGACGAGAGGATCCCGCTCGTGTCGAACTTGAACGAGCTCGTGCTGGCGTTCAAGTTGTCTGCGGGCGGGACGGACGAAGGGAGGTTGCTGGCGGGCGACGAGGCAGCCGAAGTCGAAGGGAGCGAAGGCGGGGCGGCGTTGAAGGTCGCGGCTTGCGGCATCGCGCTCGACCCATCGACATCCTTGTTGTAGTCGAACGTGAACGCCGACTCGTACACCTTGAGACGGTCGTTCTCGCTTCGCAGGCTGTTCGCGACATCCCGACGAGTCAGTTAGTTGCCTTCCCGAGCCTCGGGTATCGGAGCGGCGCACCTCTCGAGCAACTGCTTCAGCGCCGCGTTCTCCGCATCACGCTCGTTCGTCTGCTGCTCCAACAACTTGACCCGTTCCTCCAAGTCCTTCAAGTGCTGTCGGCCGAGAGAGTCTAGGGTGAGCCCTTAGATCCCGGGAGACGAACAAAAGCGCGCGCGAGCGACGCACCTTCTCCTTGCGCTCGCGGAAGTTGCGCTGAGCCTGGCGGTTCTGTGCACGACGCTTCTCGGACGTCTTGGTCTTGTTGCCCTTGCCCGGTGCACCGCGCGAGCCGTCGTCTTCGGGTGACTCGCCTGCTCGGCACCGAAAGACTCGTCAGCGCGGCCGTTGCGTACGCGACGCGGAGAGGGCCCAGTCAGACGTACTGCGCGAGATCTCGCCGTCCTCGCCGGTCGGGTGCGAGTGGTGGCCTCCGCTTGTCCTGCGCGAGTCCTTGATCGCGCCCGCGCCCTGGGTCCCGTTCTTGCGCTTGTCGGGGTGGTGCTGAGCCTGCTGCTGCATGGCCCTCGCGTGCTGCTGCCTCGCGTGTGCGAGGTTCGTGGTGGTCGAGTCGAGACCGTTCGACGAGGCCGGGCTGGCCGAGTCTGTGAGCTCAGGCGACGAGGGTTCGAGTGGCTGGGTTCCGAGGATGTGAGAGGGGGGTACGGCGATGTCTGTCTTGCCGTCGAGGAAGCTGGCGAGGCTGGCGAGGTCTGCGAGCGGGTGTGAACGTGGATGAGCTGATGAAGCGGCGAGGGGGG